CCCAAAAGACTACTTAGTACTAAAATCACTACAAGGTGGAAATTCTAAGTTTTGATAAACTACGTTCACAGTGTTCAGGTGTATGGGAACTGCTGAATCATGGCCTGAACCTCTGATTGATCACCTGAGGCGAGCACTGAGTCAGCTATGGGAGCACAGGTGAAGGCAATTCAACTGTGCTGCTAGAAGGGGTGGAGCCTGGCTCCACTTCTAGACCCATTTAAGAGCTGACTACCAGTAGGGAAGGATATCTTCTGGAGATCCACTGCTCTGGAGTTTCATAGCCAGCCCAGAATACAGGTAAGCATTCTATCTGTTCTGTTTTGGTATAATAACTGCATAGCCAAACTCTCTGGTATATTTCATAACTATAACATCTGCACATTCATTGATTATACATCAGGTTAAAAGATTGTTTAAACATATTCCCTGGATAAAAAGAAATTATTTTATTTGTTTAGATATATAACTAACCTATACTTCTTCAACTGCACTTATGCAGGCAGGAAGTAAGAAATAGAGGTGAAAGATAACCCCATCTTAGCTAATGCAAGTCAACAAACCAAGGCTATTCATTTTGACTGCAACACTCATCTCTCTTCTTAGAAAGCTGTTCTAGATTCCTGCTGACAAGAGCAGTTTCGTCAACTACTTGAAACCTCTGGCCTTCCAGAGTCGCTCTGTCAGAATAACAAACTATGGCCTTCTTGCTGATATCCAGAACGTACTGTCCCACAGTTGGCCAGGATAGGAAAGTGAATACAAGGGCACAGTGACTGCACCCTCTCCACATGGGGTTTAGCTGCTCATGGCCAACCCTGATAAGTAGCTATCTGGCCTTGAGCAGCTCTGAGGGAAAGCAGGGAGCTGTCTCAGCAGGGCTCCCCTTATCTCCAAAGCTATCATTATGCTCAGGCTCTCTTCTTCACCCCTTAGCACTCAGTCATGCCATGAACCTCAAATTATGACCACATTCAGTACCTGCACCTCAGTGGAGAAGTCCCATCGTTTGGAATATCTATAGGCAGCGAACTAAGTAAAAAGCACTGTGAATGAGGATGCTGGAATGAGAAGATGTAGGTGCAAGCAACCTGATCTCTATTCGAAACTTCCATTATTTAACAGATCTGCATATTAATAAATGCTCAGAGAACTCACCCACTCTCTGATGCGCTCACTATGTACTGCTTCTCACTGGAAGCAGAGGCCTTTGATAAACAAGTGATTGAGGCTGTGTGACCAAACAGCAGAGCTCTGGGGTTAATCTAGAATAGGGAAAACAAAATGTGAGAGAAAAATAAGAGTGCTACTTAATTAGTATAAGCATATTCCAGATTTCTGTTTTACATATTATATAAATATATGACTACCCTATACATATGCATTTTATTAGCACAGTTGTGGACATACAACCTAGAAAGCATTTGCACAGGACGTGCTATGTTACATGGAAAAAAAACCAAAAAAACAAACACTTCTACACAATAACGTAATACAAATTTGTGTAAAAACTTACTTTGTATAATAACAGTGATTTTGAATGATAGATTGAATTTGACCCAACTCAAAAAATTTGTTATACTGCAGCAAGTTTCCCCCAGTAGAGTACACGTCACAGCCCTATACATCTATTTTTTAAATTTATATACATTGTATTCATTGATTTAAAAATAAAGAAAGAAAAAAGAAAAAGAAAAAGTTACTTTTATTTGTCCTTTCTAGAAGATAATAGTCATTTTCTACTGACCCCTCCTTCTTTATTTTTTAAACATACAAAGCAAACAATTTATGGGGATAACTCAGATATTGAGAATTTTAGGTATTCAGTACAACTCCTTCCTGAACCAAACTGCCTTTTACAAAAAACAATTGTTTCTCCACTCTATTCCAAGACATTAAGTCTCCTTGAACCAAGGCAAATTACAAGATAAAATTCAAATAGACACTTGCAGATTTCAACTCCAGGGCAGACACTAATCTGTAATATAAAGATTAATTATTATAAATATAGCTTTTATCTTTGCTACTAGACTTCTTTTGTCTTTCAGTTTTCATGGGAATCAGCAGATTAATCAAGTAATGACCTTAAAAAATGCTCCGATCTGTTTTTTACAGAGCAGCTGCACTTGAAAACAGCTTAGAAGAGCTTCAGAAAAAGAGGAAATAATTATTTAAGATAAATTACTGAAGGAGCAGTAACAGAATTCAAGAGCAAACACTTCTCTTTCTATTGTGAAATATCTGCTACCGGAAGTAAATGGCGTGACATCCAAGACCCATCATGTGAAGTGATGAAGAAAGGACAGATGAACGAGTACAAAATGACCAGAGGGGATGCTGCAATACTGAACAGTAAAATCACTTTGATAACAAGAATAAAAACCTCAGACACAATCTGAACTCAAGTTACACATACAGCATCTTACCTCTAAATCTGGAGCAATGTCCCAGAGACATATTTGGCCATCGTGGCAGCCAGTGACAATCATCGACGCTTCATCCATGAGCAGCAGGGTTGATATGCAGTGGGTGGGAGCCCTCTGGCCCCACAGGACAATGGGCAACACAAGGCTGTTCCCAGCCATCCTGCTTTCACACCTGTCAATTTCAACAATACATATTAGGTCTCAATGGATGTGCCTGCTCCTCAGCTGACACCCTCCTATCTCACAAGACAGTAAAAGATGAGTCTGAAGTGACTTTATGAACATTTTACCCTAAAGAAACAGTCACTACAACATGCCACTCCTTAATTAAAATGCAATATACAATCATCTCTTCTTCCATTGAGGAAGATTTTCATCCTCACAAATGGACGAAATAACATATTTACACAGCTCTGAACCTTTCAGTCTCTGATGTCTAAGCCCTCATCTGCAGCACTGGTCACTAAAGGTGTACTTCTATAGCCTTCCTTGGAGGGAAACCTGTGAGAAAAGCTTCTTAAGAGGGGCAGGCAATGAGGGAAAAGGAACTGGAACGTGCAACAAGTGACACAGTGGGACAAGAGTCACTCCTAGAATTATCAACATTTAGAACTAACATAAGCTAGAAAAAGGAAATACAGCAAGGGCGAAGCACTTCTCAATCCTCCACCACTGCCAGCCCTCGGGAGCTGGATCCTAAACAAGAACTGATTGAAAGTCTGAGACTGAAAGAGAAGGAACTGATTTATTTCTGTTGTCTCTTGCTGCAGCTGTTACAAAATAAAAATCGCATTTTTAATTCTTTTCTGCACAGATGCTGATGATTTCCTGGACCCATCCCATTCATTGCCAGTCATGTCAGCTGTCCCCACAGATGCCCAGAGCTGCAGTCCAGCCATGGCTAGGGAGCAGGAAGGGGAAATGCAAGCTTGGGAAAGCTGCAGCACAGAACCCGGAGACCTGAACAACAGCAAGGCCAATAAAAACCAGTTCTGAGATCAGCAGGAAATTTGAACACCAAACCAAGCCTGTTTTTGTTAGCAATATCCTGAGTTTACCAAACACTTCAATGATTAGACATAAGAACTCTTCCACTTTGCAGTACTTGTTAAGAATAAACTGAAAAACAGAGCACATGGCCAGCAAGCTGAACACTTACATCAGATACAACCAACATTTTCTTCATCTCTTACTCAGGATTCATATAGTGCTGCAGCAGTTGCTCAACTACCCTGCAGAAGAACTTCAAGCTACAGAAGGCTACTGAGAAATGAATGGGGAAATCAGTGTGCTAAATGAATGAAGGAAACCTCCTGGTGTTTCCTAGCAGAGGTTTCTGTTCAGAACTTTGCATAGTTCAAACTACAGTAGAATTTCCCATTTAGAGGAGTGTAAACACGGCAGAAGAATCCACTGAAGGAATACCTTAACACGCTCTCCTGTCTTTATATTGATACATATGCATCCATCCCACTGGCACGATCTTGTAGTACAGTGTTTGCTCGCAGACAAACAAATCTTTCTACAGTAGTTTAGAACATGGAGAAAGCAATTCTGAATGATTACAAAGGAAAAATAAGCAGAAGAAATACCCTCAAATGTGCTCATTCCCAATGGCAACCCCTATGCTTCTTTTTGATGCAGATAGCACTTTTTTACCTTCTATTTCAAAAGCTTTTTTCTGCCATGCTACAGAGAGCTCAAAACAAATTAATGCTATCTCTCATCTGTATAAACATTACACTGAAATCTCTTCAAGCACATAGTTTTAGAGTAATTTGGACAAACACTGCCTTCATTTCTAGTGCAAACAGTCCCTGTGGCAGCAGGAATGGAACACAGTAATATATACAGAAAAAGGGGGGAAGGGAAGCAGCAAACAGCTGAATAACACAGCTTGGTGTTACAGACTGACAACTAAAAACAGGCCTGAGTCTTGGAACAGAGGACACAGGCAAGCCGGATGCACCAAGCCTCACATTTTTGAGAAGTTTGGGATGCAGAATGGTTTTTCAGTAAATTTAAGTGATGAAAACAGTGATAGTAGTCACTACAAAGTGTCATTTTATGCCCAATCTTTTTTTGCACCCAATGGGACCACAGTTATTAAAAATTGAGCAGTATTACTTAGCAAATGAATACAAATACAGACCAGCAATCAAGCACACACGCTGTTCTGACACACTACCCTGAGACAAGTGTTTGTAACACATGGCTGTAAATGCAGTGCTGTTACGCAATGCTGGATCAATTGTTCCCTGTCTGGATGATCAGAACACAGAACTGTAAAATATTTTTCAGAAGGTATAAAGGATGCAGTGACCTTAATAAAGGCAGCATACCTGTCAGCTGAGGAATTACAAAACCTCTGGCCTAAAGGTACTCGATTTACAGAGAAATGATAAAAAGAATTGAATGAGATCCTAAAATGAAGATTGTCCAGATGCAGTACAAAGATGCATCACAGAAATAAAATCAACTTCTACCATATTTTGTAAAGTAATAAAACAGATGACACACTGGGAAAGGTGAGCTGAGACATAAATTTTTGTTAAGATGAAGTATTTAAATCACAAAGAAGGTACAATATTTTGCACCAATTTTACTTCAGCCAACTACTGGGGCTCAGTAGCTGTGGGCTAGAAATACAGAATTGCCAAAGTCAGTCCCATACCATCCTGTCTGTACAGCCACCCTTCATGGCCAGGAGCCACACTGCACTGCAGTATCCCTAAAGCAGCTTGCTGGCACACACTATACCTAGGTGCTTTTTTGCTTTGGTTGGTGTTTGGGTTGGTGTTTGGTGTTTTCTTTTTATATATATATATAAAAATAAGTAATATTTGACCTTCAGTTTAACCTACAAAATAACTTTCAGTTGATAATTCAAATCATCAATAATTTTAGAGCTGGAAAATTCTGGGAATAAAAATGCTGATTTTGTTTGAAGGCAACAAAGTCTCTTCCCATGCTTTTCATTTCCTATTGCTCATAGTTCAGGGAACGTATCAGAATATTTCCATAAGTCATCTCTGTGATCGTCTCAGCTACACGAACAACTGCATGTTGGGATAATGAAGGAGCTCCCCTACCAGGGTATACAGTTGTTTCATCAAATTCTGCAGTAAGCCTGATGCTTTACCTAAGTATTTCTATGTTTGAAAAAAAAAACAACAGCATTATATATAAGTACTTAAAACATTGAATTTTCACAAGGATATTACAGCAGTCACAAATGATACCACATATAAGTAATCTCCTATATGTGGTACTTTCCATGCAGACTGAAGTGAGAAAGCACTGCAGACATTAACAGCAAAATCATATGTAAAGGCTTACAAATATTCACATTCCAAAACTTTTACTAAAGGACAGAAACATTAGAATTTCTAATACCAACCCCAGGGGGAGAGAGAGCAAAAAGAAAAGCTACCTCTTTCCTTCCAGTTTTTTATTATGGCATCGCAAAGCCTTCATTAAAAACTTCATTTTCAGGAAGTACCACAAACTCATCTCAACTGGCGCGGAATTCAGACTGCAAAGAACAACAGTTCTCTACTGCCACTGAGCATCAAATACATTCCCAGTAAAAACCAAAAGTCACTTAATGTCTGGAAACAATCGATACAGATTTTTTTTTACATCAATGATGACCAACTCCAGTAACAAATAAACACAGTACCTATTGACAAATGGTCAAAAAGCATGCGGTGAACCACTGCAAAGGAAACCCTGTGTTCTACTTATCTGTACCTCTCTAGAATTTTTGCAGAAACAGGAACTGGAAATTTTAACTGGAAAATGAACTGGTGACATCAAACGGAGCTCTTCCTCCTTAAAAGTCCTGTCATCACAGAGGTGCCTGAGGCTTTCCATACCATTTCCACAGGCGCCTTGGTGCCATCCTCCACAAGTACACAGAAAGAAAGAATGACTTTGTGTTACTATGTGTGCATTTGTAGAGTACTACTTCGCTTCACTTCCAAACTACTCCTCTCAAAGCCACAGAGAATACAGACGGAAAACGGTTGGAAAAGACAGACAGACCTGACCAAAGGGAGGCTCTCAATTTTCTCTAATATTCCCTAGATCTGAAATTTTTCATTTGCTTTTTCCTGCAGTGGGACTTGTAATGTGGATCCAAGAACACTCTCTCATATACAGACTTTGGAAGTTATTTCATCTCATGCTTCTGGAGTCACAAACATCTCTTCTTCAGTGTCTTCAATTGTGTTCTTTGTAAAGTGAAAATGACACTTTAGATTTCCAGATAAGACCCCTGTCCCTGCCCCCTCCCACCTCCCCCCCCAAAAAACCACAAAAGATAAATAACTAATCTGTATTTATTTCATTAAAGGACTTGAAAGAATATCACTATTAACGTACCCTTGCATGAGTAATGAAAAAAATAAAAAGTAACGTACTAAGTTGGTGGAATAGTCAGTGACTCTCAGCAGCACTAATAAGGCTGGTATTCAGGCAAATTCCATAATCTGGGAAAAAATCCCTATTTGAGCAAAGCTATTAAACTGATTTCTGAAGTACAACATATTGCTTAAATAATGAATCAAAGATTCACTTAACACCTTCACCAAAACACAGTCCTATCAACATCATCTTCTTTCACACGTACAACACTGGTAAACTGTTCACAGCTAACCTAGGGAATGAAATTGCAAAAGAAAACAAAATGCTGCCTTCATATGAAAGCCTGTTTAAGAAGAGGCAAAGCAGATGCAGAAAAGATTTTAACAGTTAACAGTAGTGCACTGCTCAAGAAAATCCGTGTAGGGAAGTGACCTATGAGGACCATGGGAGTGAAGATGAAGGTCAGATTTATAATAATAGTTTTATAATAGCTTTATAATAATAGCTGCTGCAACAAATCAAAGATGGAGCCACAAACCTTCCTCTGCTTGTACGCAAAATGTTTCTGCAAGATCACTTTACTTGCAGCTGCCTTAAGCTTTCCCACACCTTTCAGCCATGAGATGCAGCCTGGAGATAACATTGAACCTCCTCAAAATCAAGACCCTGAGATCTTTACCCTGAGACAGGTCTGTGATAACAGTTTGTAGGACCAAAAAAATGCACCCAAACCAAACTGCTTTTGGTAGGAAGCCCAGCAGCTGGTGAGGGGTTTTCACCTCTGTCTTGTGTTGGGACAATAAAATCAGTTCCCTAGCCATCCAGCTGGTACCAGTTCTGTCCCCGGAGCATCTTAGGATACATGTGGGCGCTAAAAGAATCTGTCAAAAAAACATCTATGAAATGACTATTTCTTTATCATGTATGCTCTCAGTCTATAACAGCTCCAAAAAATGAACCACTGAAGTCTGCCAAATGAACATCTGCTTCTAAATCAATGTAACTTATGCTCAAACAAAGCAGTTCAGAAATGTTAAGAATAAACCATTCCTTTCCCTGTCAGTGTTTACCACATATTAATGCATTTTTTCTGCATTTTCAGTAGAATTTAAATTATGTTATTCCTCAGATTTGTCACCAGTAAGCACAGAGAGGCTGCCATCCATGACATCGGCAGAAGCCTTCTAAAAGGATTTCATATTTTCACATGAACAGTAATTTTTATGCCTAATATTTTTCACACATACAGAATCTTTCACTCCAAAAGTCATTAGTTAAGCATTGCAATACCTCTTCTAAAGCCACTCAAATGCAGGTTATCACATATCCATAGCAGAGGTTCCTTTCTGCTACATCATGGCTTCTATTTGAAATACCCAACGTATTATAACAAATCTGATTATTATAATTTTATCACTAATGGCCTCTTCCATTTAATACTTGGAGCTGGGGAAAAAAAGGATTGACACAGCAGGGAGAAGAAAACAAAATACTGTATCCAGAGTTGCACAAATGTTCAACTGTCAGAACACACACATTTAGATATTCACACCTTTCTTTGTGTAGATGGTGAATAAGCAAATCTGTTACTAAACACAAATGGTCAGCAATGTTCGCTCTGTTAATAACATTCTGCTCATTTGTTAGAGGCTTCTGAAATGCATTTCAACTCATCATAAAGTGATCAAACACCAAGTATTTCTGCCTTCTAAGCCTGTTGTAAATCCAACAAAACCATAGAGTAGGTGGGGTGGAAGGCACTGCAGGAGATCACAATGAACCTGAACAAGATCTGGGCCAGATACAGCTGCCCAGGATCACGTCAACTCCTGCATATACACAACCTACCCAAGCGCTCAACTGCTGTCAGGAAGAAAAATTCTGGCACTTCCCTCTGCTGAATTCACAAGGCTCCTCTTGGCTCATCTCTCCAGGCTGAGGCAGCACAGCTCTGTGAACCTCCCTCCTCATTCTGTACCACCTACAGACTTGCTCTGTCCATCACCTGTGCCACTTCTGATGATATTAAACACCAGAGGATTCAGTACCAGCCCCCAGGGTGGAACACCATGACTGTCCTGCAGCAGAATGTCATGCTGCCCATCACAACCCTCTTAGCTTGTATGCTCCACCAGTTTTCAATGCACTTATCCTGAGCATGCATCAGCAGCTTGTCCATGAGGATGCTATGGGAGCTGCGCCAAATTCTGCTCCTCTTCAGCCATCAGTCTTGGCGTGGGAGGCAATCTCCTCTCTGTAAATCCATGCTGTCTGAAAAGTCAGAGAACACTTCTAAAAAGCTAATACTTCTTCAGCAAATAAATCCATGCTTGTCTGCTTGGGGTTTTTTCTACTAGAAGACATTTTGGGCCACATTTGCATGATACAAAACACTGGAAAAGGATCTATGTGTTCCGTTCTTTAACTCGAACACATCTAACGTTATCATTTAAGCTCATATCAGATAAGAGCTGAACACAAAACTTAGGGAGCAATAACTAACCTTTAAACTTTATCCAAGCTCAACTTTCTGCTTTGCAAATGAAAAAAAAATACTATTGCAACACTGTGCTAAAAGCCTTCATTAAGAAAGTAAAATTGTCATTTTTCACTAAGAGAGAGTTATTAATAAACAGGTAAAGAATGCAATCAATGCCACATGAAACAAATTCATCATGGTGACAGCAATGTCAGGCAACCAGCCTAGCAAAAAGCCAGGCAAACCTGCCATCACCATGCACATGGACATGCACAAACATGCATGCAAAACAGGACAGAAGATGGTGACTTGAACTGCCAAGTACATTTGTCTTGGTAATTAACCATACCAATTTCAAGACAAAAACAAAAGTAAGTAGCTATCAAGGAGAACCAATGCATCCCAACACAGCCAAGAGGTGCGAGGACTGCTCAAAGTAAACACAGCACACTTCATTTTACTGCCCTGAATATTCACACTGACCTCAATAAACCCACTCATTACAACAGAATTAAGCACATCTGCAGGAGGGAGCTAACCTCTGCTTGCTCCAAGCTATTACGTTGATCAAGGATTAAAAAGGTACAGGCACCTGGACTTCCTTCATCCCCCCTGTAATCTGCTGAGCTCTCCCACAGCCGTGCGCAGGCAGAACCTCTATCCCTCACGCATTCTTTATTTCTTCTCACTCATTCACCTGCAGTGGGCATCACACAGCACTGCTGTGTTTCAAGCCCTATAACAAAGCTCTCCACAGATATTTGTTTATACAGCACTTGATTTGGCCATGATGTGTTACCATAACACAAACAAAAGTATTGTGAACATGGCCCCAAACCTTTCCAACACAATCAAAATCAAAAACAAAAACAAACTTGCCTTCCAAAACAGATATTAAAAATCCAATTAGTTCAGACACAAACTCCTTCCCAATC